CTGGTCATCCCACAAATTCTTCAAGAGAGAGATGAATGGCCCGTTACAAGTCCCTACTTTTAAGAGTGATGCACACTTTGTTGCAGCCAAAGGTCTTGTGTAATCAATAAAGGAGAAGCAGCTGTCTTTGGGGCGCAATCTTGCCTCTCCCATTTTCTGCCAGAGGGATCATGGGTGAAGCTCCTCTGAGCTCCAAGTCCAGCTTGCCCATCTGGCAGGTTCTCCATCCGTGGACTGGCCATGCCTGCGCTGCAGAATCCCCCCCCCTCTTCTAGCAGGTCTGATAGGAGCAACGGTTGCAGCTGGAGCCTCCTTTAGCAGGGTGCTTTGATGCTTACAAGCCAATCAATACAAATTGGTCTCTTGCAGTCTGTTAGCCACTGTTTATCAAATCACTGGCTTATCAAATTCATTTACCACTTGAAATGCATCGGCTACGTCAACATTCTAACTAGTACAGTTATTACTTTGTCATGTAGTGATGTTTTCAGCAATATTTCCTAGGAACCTTCACTTTCCAGAACATTTGGCTCTAGATCAGTGATCAAAAATTTGTAGGTATTTTGTTGTGCTCAGAAGTCCATGAATACAGTAGATTATTTCATTTTTTTTCTCCTCTTGTCCTTCCCATTTGATTGTTCGCCTCCGTTGCTTTGTGTAACTTATATAGGAAGGATTTCTGCTGCCTTCTAGTTCTGGGGAATCAGTGTTTACTCGGGAAGTTTGCCTTCCCATAGTGCCTTTTACCCCTCCGCATCTGGCAACGCTTCTCTTTGCTTCCTCTCGGTCAACGTGATGTTGTGATGTTGCAGCCCACAATTCTCCAGGGATCCCATTTAACAGATCTAACCTGGTAAATCTACTTTTCAGCTCCGCTTTATCATTGTGAATTCTGTAAATCAGAACTTGCTGATCGAGTGATTTCCTTTTCTTTGTTCCAGTATATTTTTACCAGAAGGTGTTTGTGATCTGAGCCAAAGGCAGCCTCCGGACTTCTATTGCTTGACTCAATAGAGCAGGGGTGTCAAACTCGATTTCATTGAGGGCCGCATCAGGGTTGTGTTTGACCTCGGGGAGGGGGGCATGGGGGCATGGCCAGGGTGGGCATGGCCAGCTCGATGTCACTCCTGTCTGGGGCACCTGTGGTGGCCCGAGTGCTCTGCCAGTGAAAACGGGCTCCCAAGCTCTGTTTTTCCTGGCAGATAGTTGCAGGAGGCTGTGGCAGCTGGAAATGGAGCTTGGGAGCCTGTTTTTGCTGGCAGGTCCTTCACTGTTTCGAAGGCAGCCCCGCGGGCCAGGTCTAAGTACGCCATGGGCCGCATTCGGCCCCCGAGCCTTGAGTTTGACACCCCTGGAATAGAGGGTCTCTATCATTGCTTGCAGAGCAAATGGTCAGTCTGATTTCAGTGTGATCTGTCCAGGGCTAACTATGCACAGGACCATCACTTAGGCAATGGACAGTGATGTTATTTATGACCAATACTGGATTTTCTTGGCCGAATGCTCTTAATGGGTCAGCAGTTTCATTCTCCCATAATACCAGAAGCAGTTTTCCTTCCAGGCTCCTCTCGTTAATTTGGTACTGTGTCAACTGGCTCTTGAAACCCCATCAAAAGAGTCCAACTTCTCCTTCCATTGTGATTGGAGCTGAGATTCAGGTGGTCCTAATATTGACTAGTTTCTCTTGGAGATGCCAAGATGGATGTCCACATTTTGTTTTCTTCACTCTGCTGTGATGCAGAGTTTTTTCTGTTTTAATTCTTCGTCTTATTTTGTTTCATCTCAGACACTGGGCCAGGTGGCCAATCAGAGTGTTTCTTCAAAGGATGCCAGACTGATTCCATTACTACTCAGGGGCACCAAAAAGTAACTGGGAAATATGTGTTTTTATATTGTATTTCATCTTCAGGAAGAAGAGCAGCATTTGAATGATTTTTTTGGACTCAGGGGCCAGAACGACTCGACCAGATTCTTTTTTTTTTTTAAATAATCTTTATTTACATTTTTCATTAAAAAAAAACAAAAAATAACAACACACCATATAAATAACATATAAGACAACATAACAAATAACAAACATATCTGCAAGTACATTATGTTCCGAGGGAGACAGAACAACTTATATCTCTTTATACATCAATTAGGTCTATCCGACCTCACTTTATTAGTATAATATAGATTTCTCAGTTAATACCTTTTCTCTTTTCAATTGGGTTGTGGTTTTCTCTTCGCTAGCCAAATATATAATTTTTCCCAGGATAAACATGTTTGTGTTTGATCTTTATCTTTTAATTTTTTAGTCAATTTATCTGCTTCCGCACCAGATTCTTGATATCTCCTTCAGCTTCCCTCCAATCACGACTGCTTCAGTCGCTCTTCCAGCCAAGCATTCCCGAGGCTCTCAGGCCTGCAGCCCCAGGATCCCCTCAGCTTTGTCTCCTTGCTGGCCGGACCTGCCTTCTTGGCCAGCCACTAGTGCTTAAAACTGTCAGATCTGATGAAGCAAATTCATCTGCCTTTGGGAGAGGTTGCCTGTTGCACCTCTGTGTGAACTACTGAGGACCTGAGTTGGCTAGTTCCTTTCTTTTTATGGATCACAGTGAGGATAGCAACTGACGCAGAAAAACAACCGTTTTTTTCTGGGTCACATCCTGAATGTTTGGCATTTATCATGGTGTCATGATCAAAGTGAGCTCAAATAATTATGACACAACAAGAAGAGAAACTTGACTGTTTATCAACATCTGAATAATTCTTTTTTCAACAGAGGGTTCAAGAAAAGGGCTTTTGAGCAATCCTGTCAAGTTTTCTGGAGATGTTTTGCTTAAGGAGCAAAATCCCAAGCATGTTTCTCTCTTATTTCATTTTTCTTTAATGTTAAACTATAGGTGAACTTTTAACACTGTTAATTGAAATCATATTGCTTGAATTAGCATTCATAAGATATTGGAAAAAAGAATTCAACAATTATATTTCTGTTTGTAGATTACGTTACTAATATTATTATGTTTCTCCAAAGAGGAAGAAGAAAGAAAACCAGAAAGAACTGTTTTGTAAGCAGATAATTCTTCCAAACTCTAAAAATTGGCTCTAAAAATGAGATTATTTAATTCAGCAAAGTGCGACTTGGGTAACAGACATTTGAAAAACTGAATTAAAATTGTGCACAAGCCAGAAAGGAAGGAAAGGAACCCTTGGTGGTGGTGCTGGTACCAGCAGCAAAATTCTCACATGAAACCAAATTCCATAATTTGAAAATGAGCTTTTCCTTTAACAATTCTGCCCCCTCGGTGCTGCCAGGAAGAGAGGGGGAAAAGCCCCCTTTCCCCCCCATCACAAATGAGTCGCTCTGTCCAAAGGAAACGAAGACCAATTTGGAAGCAGCCCAAGTATGTGAACACCAAGGAGAGCATTAAGTTAATGTAAATAGTTTCTGTTTTGCAAACTGAACTCCAACAGATGATATTGGATGACTGTAAATTTTATGGCAGAGCACTTTTAATAATACACTTTTGTGTGTGTGTGCGGGTGCACGCATGTGCGTGTGATGGGGAGGGAGAGGGAGAGAGAGAGAGAGGGAGAGCAGAAGCAGAATCTACACCATGTCCAAACCCAGAGTATAATGCTCTGGGAAGCTTTGAGAGGCCTTTAAATTCCTCCAGCAGGGGCTGAATGAGAGGTCTCACAGCTGGGTCACTGAACCAGTCAGCTGGGTCATAAAACACAGATTATTCCATCATGGTGATGGAAGCCCAGAGGGATAAAACTACATTTGCCAACCATGCCATGTTATTAAGACTTGTTTCAAAGCAAGAATCGGTCCAAACACTTTCGCCTTGTTTCCTCAAAGAACTGTGGGACCGCATCACCCTCAAAATCACATTTCTAAGTGTCCCCCCCCAGCTCTATAAAAGGCAGACAATAATACATCACCATCACTAAAATAGATTAGGACCCCCTCCCCCTGCCAACATGGCTGATAATCACGAAAGCTTCTATGCAGCTATTGACTAAGTGAGGGGAAGAGTCATTCCTGGGTGTGATATTTTGCTGTATTCAGTTCTGCTGAATTCGTGAATTCCACTTCAGCTCCCCGAATACATAAACTGCAACCCCGTAAAAATGATAAATTAAATCAGTTGATAACTGATTGCAAAGTTTCACACAGCTGAGTTAAGAACATTTCTGTTATATCATTGTAATGCAGCACAATTTTTGTGTGTAATTGCACAGAAATAAGAACATTATGGTTAGAATCCCAGCCCAAGTCAACAATCCACTGGGCTAATGCCTACAACAGATTTCCTACAAAGATCAAAATAAAACATCAGATCCTACATGAAAAACTCAGTAAAGAGCAGAGGGTTGGAGAGAAGCAGAAGTTCAGCAATGGTTTGCAAAACGCCTGCTGCATTCTCCTTGTGGGAAACTCTGATGATGTTATCTAGTTGGGTCTGCAAATAACAACAACAACAACAACCAAGCTCAGAGAGCACCAAGGACCCTTCATGCTAGGAAGTCCTCAGCAGGAAGCCCCCTTCTAGAGGAATGGCTTTTTGGCATGGCCATCAGAGTGTCTCCCCCTCCGCCTGCACCGCCCCAGCAATGCACAGCCCACTGCTCTGAGCACCCCCTTCCTTGTCCCTTGGGTTGGGGCCCCCAATCAAGGCAAAGAGCACTGCTTGGCCCCATTCCTCCTTAGCTGCAGTAACAAGCCCTGGCAACAGGGGGTGTTGCTCTCACAAACACTGTCAGCAAATACATTGTTAACACTACAGCCATCAGCCAAAGCAACAATGGGACCATTTATTGTTGTTAATTTCAAATTCCAGAGGAGACAGGCATTACTATATTCCCTTTTATTCTTTTATCCGCTATTCTATGCTTTTAACCCTTGAGCATTTTTGACATAAAGTTGCTTTGAGCTATAGAAAACAGATGCCAGAGAATATGCATTAAAACATCCCACTTAATCATTTCCAGCCGTATGAATTACTTACCTCATCTCCAATCACAACTTCTTCCCTGGGACTGTGGAAAAGATATTCGTACAGTGTATAATGTTGGAATAAACTGAAAGACAAGAAAGTGGACATTTTTTTTTTTTAGGAGCATATGTCAGTTTTGGAAGACAGTTTTCCTTTTTGCCTCCTAACTGCCACATTCGTTGGGGGTGTTCCTTGGAACCCTGACAGCACACAGGGTCCATGTTGCTTCTAAAAAGGGGCTCTTTAACCACACAGCCCAAGACCCTAAAGCTCTAGCTCAGGGGTCTGCAACCTTAAACACTCAAAGAGCCATTTGGACCCGTTTCCCACAGAAAAGAAAACACCGGGAGCCACAAAACCTGGGTGGGCGTGGCCAACTCGACATCACTCCCTTCCACCAGTCACATGACACCCCCCCAGCCACGCCTACCCAGCCAGTCATTAGGACAGAAAACCAGTTGTTAAAAAACACCAGGAATCACAAAACCCTTTTGACATCTCTCCCTCCCTCCCTCCCCCCCTCTCTCTGTATCTCTCTCTCCCACTCTCTCTGTATCTCTCTGTCTCTGCCCCGGTTGCTTCTCCATCCCCCACCATCACCCTTACCTTCTCAGGCCAGGCAAGGAGTGACTGGGAGGGGAGGGAGAGGGGCGGGGCCAGCCAGTGGTGGGATCACTTGACATGGAGCCACAGCAGAGGGCCCAAAGAGCCACATGCAGCTCTGGAGCCGCAGGTTGCTCACACCTTCTCTAGCTAAATTTCATAACCCCAAACCCTGTTCCTCTCTCTTGTTCACTGTTATAAAATCCTGCAGTGAGGTAATAATTCCCACTAAATGCAGAACTAAGTTTGCAGCAAAATTGTATAGCTGTGATTTCTGATCTGCTTCACAAAGCTGCTGTGAAGGTGGAAAGCAAGACATCCCATCACCTTGGAGGGAAGGAAGAAGAATAAATGCATTGTGGTGAGAAATTGTGAGAACTCTAACAGTAACAGAGTTGGAAGGAACCTTGGAGGTCATCTAGTCCAACCCCTTGCTCATGCAGGTGACCTGTACTAGGGATTCGAACCGTCAAACTGCCGACCTCTCTGATCAACAAGCTCAATGTCTTAGCCACTGAGCCACCTACTCTGGAAGGGAGCAGGGTCATTTGCAAAGTAACTTGACCTTCCTTTGTCAGTCAGGTTTTGCTGACCATGGTGAATCCGGGTTGATCCCTTCAGGATGGCCTTGGGATCTGGGCTTTCTGCCTGGGGAGGGGGAGGGGAGAAGAATGTGTCTGCCAACTGACGACTGCCCTTCTTCCCTCTGAACCCAGGCTCATCACCCAGCTAAGAAACGAGGCGGCTTGGGCAACCCCTGGGTTTCTCCTGGTCTGAACAGATTTTCCTTTTTTGTATCAGACACAGAATGCTCTTGACATGCATTCTGGCTGCTATTGAGGGAGAGAGTTTTGGCATAACATGACAAAGGATTACAGATGTGAACTAAACAACAAGGCAGGCTTTTTCACGACAGCCATGTAAGCATCTGAAAGCGATTAATGCAGACGGACATCCCTCCTTTGACTTTTTTCTGTAGGAAAATGTCATCAAAGAGGCCGATGTTGGGGTTGGTGATACAAAGGGGACTGGGTGGGAGAGGAGGGGGACAGTTACCAATCACCTGCCCTGGAAACTGGGCATTTCTCTCTTTTCTCCTTGCAAAATAAATAAATAAATAAATAAAAAATCTCCACCAAAACTAGAGGGAGGAAGAAATTGTCAATATTCTTGGGAAGAAAAAAACCCACCAACTCCATCTCTGGAAACAGATCAAGAAATATTTCTGTCGAGGAATCTAGCTATTTCTTCTACCAAAGACCTCTGCTAAGAGTGGAAGGACCCAGGCAAGCTCCATTTTCAAAGCTCCCAGAGGTTGGGAAGCAGGTTCATTTCATTTCATTTTCTGAAATTGGCTTCTGCTCTGAAAATTAGTTGAAAATTCCACAGATCCAGGCTTCTTCTACTATTTCAAAGCCAATAAACATTTCCATGTATCAAAGGCAAAGGGCAGGGAAGGGCCTTCTGTTGGGGTCTTCCAGGAAGCATCCAACTTGGGCCATCTAGCTTAGGGGTCTCCAACCTTGGCAACTTTAAGCCTTGGAGGACTTCAACTCCCAGAATTCTCAAATTCAACTCCCAAAGCTGGCTGGGGAATTCTGGGAGTTGAAGTCTGCCAAGGCTTAAAGTTGCCAAGGTTGGAGACCCCCGAGCTAGCTGATCCCCCCTCCCCCCTCGAGGAGGAGAAATAAAAGGGGCTTTCTTCCTTCTCTAAGCAAATTAAAGGCATTAGTTTTGCAGTATAAATCCAAATGTGCTCCCTCAAAATATCTTGCTAGAAGATGTCATGTTTCCATGAGAAATGTTAGGGTAAGACATACAAACATTTAATCACTTACTCAATTTATTAAAATCCTAATGATTAATTGACTAATTAATCCATTACCCAGTGAAGGCTATCTAGTTTCATATTACGAGAATTAGTGCCATCAACTTAGCAACTGATAATCAATTTATTTTTTTTTGCTAGTGTAATTACTGGGGGGTTCAAAGTGCCACCAACAGTCAAAACCCAAACCTGACTCATTCATGAAAGCAACACAAGGGACCCCGCACTAGCTTCCCAATGCCCAACCAGCACTGAAGGGCCACCTCCTCCTAGCAGTGCTGAAGGATGAGGAAGGCCTACCTGCTCTTCACGTAATTGATGATGGCTTTGGCTTGATCTACGGTGAAGAACTCAAACCCGCCGCTTATCTCTGAATTGCTCAGCCCGATGCCAGCCATGGTGCTCGCAAGTTCCTGGATGTTCTCTTCCAGGGTCATGTGATAGGCTGCAATGCCAAGGGAAGGAGAGTGAGCACCACAGGTGGGTTTCAGCAGGTTCTGACCAGTTCTGGAGAACCGGTAGCGGAAATTTTGAGTAGTTCGGAGAACCAATAAATACCACATCTGATTGGCCCCATCCCATCTATTCTCTGCCTCCCGAGTACCAGCTGATCGGGAGGAAATGGGGATTTTACAGTATCCTTCCCCTGCCACACCCACCAAGCCACGCCCACCAAGCCATGCCACGCCCACCAAGTAATCCAATAGTAAAAAAAATTGAATCCCACCACCTGTGGTTCTATGTGGCTGCAATGCGCAAAGAGTTCTCTAGCAAACCCACTCCAAAGAGATGTCTTCACATGGCCATTGGCTTCCATACTCTGGATCATGTGAAAACTAACATGCGCATTGAAGAAAAGCCTTTGCACACATAACACAAACATAGAGTGACAGAGAAGGGTATGGCTTATCAGGGAAATGCTCCCAAGCATGCTGGGACATCCCTATGGTTACCCCCCATGTGTTTTCCTCGACTGAGGCTCCAAGGGGTGAATCAGTTCCTGGAAAAAGTAGGAGCAGACCTTGGCAAAGCTGGAACCAGGGGAAGCCTATTTTCAGCAGACTGGAGTGGCTGTGCTGGTCAGGAGGTCTATGAATTGTCCTGCCTCTGAACTAACTGCCTGTCCGCTAACTCTGAACTGAGTTAATGGACGGGGACTCAAGATTTAAGCTCTGCAGATCCTCACTGGTGAAGATTGTGGTGGTGGGCTCAGCACAAGAGTTCTGCTGAAACCACGCAGACCCCTAGAAGTCAAAATGTTATTGGACTCAAACCAGTTTCCAAGAAAATATTGAACCACCATTTTTCTGGATTGATCCCTGCACTAGGGAGTGGGATGGACTGGAGAACTTCCAAGACCTCTTCCAACCCTAAGGTTCTATGATGTGGACAAGTCTACACCAAGGAAATTTAATCTTTGATTGGACCTCCTTCCAGGTTTCATAGAACTTCTCAGTCCTTGGTATCTCCATAGGTGAGATGCTCTGGATGCCAAATGTTCTCAAGATAGTCAATCTGCTGTGCTGGCCAGTAGTGGGTTTCAAATCCTGGCGGTTTGCTATCGGTAGCGCGTGGGCGTGCGGCACTTCTGTGCATGCGCAGAGCGTTTTTTATGACGTCTGGATGGGTGGGCGGAGCCTCCCACTTCCGCCACTACCTGTTTGTCAAAACCGGGGCAAACCGGGAGCAACCCAGCACTGGTGCTAGCCCAATGGAGGGTCAGTCAGGGAGGCTGTGGGGGCAAAGGGCTTGAAAGGGCAGGCCTTTTCTTCTGCCCATCGGAAAAACCAGTTATCCTCTGTGTGGGCTGTGGGGTGAAGGGGGCTGGCCTGCCCTGGCCTATGTCCAAGTAGGCCAGGAGATGTTAGATCTAACGCAGCAGCCTGACCTCAGCCAAGAGTTGAGAAGCCAATCTTTAATTGCTTGGATTTGTTCATTCAGTTTAAATGGATATATACAATGGCGATGTAAGATGATGTTTTAGTAAATCAATTTTAAAGTAAGTTCTCAGGATATAAAGCAGATGTGCACAACCAGAGATGCTCCAAGTTCTTTACTCTAATGGGCACACAGTGATCTTCTTTTAATCTTAAGCGTTCAGCAGCCACTGAAAGATGTTTTAATCCCTCCTGGTTTGTCAGATACACTGGAAGATGAAACATGATACAGCCACAACACCCTTTCCCTTCTTGCTCTGTTGCAGATGCTCTGACACTTTCCATTACGTTACAGATAAAGCTGAGATTCATATATTAACAAAGTTATACAAATGCCACTTTTAAAATATAGCTAATATAGACTGTAATAAAACCCTTTTTGGAAAACAAGAACCAGAGTGATTTTGATTTTCCACCCATAGTTCCAGATGGGCTTTTTTGCAAGAGGTAAACACTCCAGATAAACCCTAAAATGCTAGAGAGTTTTCAGTTCAAGCGCCAGAGCCCCTTGTCACAAATTTCTTCATAAGCTAGATAACTCTCTCTTTTAGGAGAAATATTGGTTTTCCCTATAAAGCGATGCCAAGCCGCCTTTGTCAAAAGGATGGCTGATTCCTGTCATGCAATTCTAGCTTTGTTTTTGCTCAAATCCCAGGAGAGAAATCAACACGCCTGGCATTTGCCAAGCTTGAGTGCAAACAGAGCGCTTGCTGATGGGCAGGTATTGCTCTCCTGGGCAGGCGAGGGGGTCCAGGGAGGGCGCTCCGCGGCTTCAGAAGCTGCATGGCTCCATGGGCTGAACTTACCTCCCATAATAACCTGTGGCTGTTTGAGCTGTGAAATATCTTAATAGAAACCTGGTTAGATCCATCTCTCTTCTTCTGGCATTTTTGTGGCAAGATAATTTAAGACACCAGAGCAACTTAAGGCCAGCACTAACTGTGGTTTGCAATTCCATGTTAATTGGGTCAGCGTGCTGGAATGCCAGCTCTAATCAAACCATATTTGTGGCCAGGTTCAGATGTTAAGTCATTATTTGGCATAGACGTGAGCAAGTTCTGAGGACTCAAAAGGCTTCTATTTTTTTATTTTTATTTTTTTAATTTGATTTATATGCCGCCCTTCTCCGGAGACTCAGGGCGGCTTACAGTGCGTTAAGCAATAGCCTTCATACTTTTGTATATTTTATACAAAGTCAGCTTATTGCCCCCACAAATTGGGTCCTCAATTTACCTACCTTAGAAAGGATGGAAGGCTGAGTCTACCTTGAGCCTGGTGAGATTCGAACTTACTTTAATTGCAGACAGCTGGTGTTAAATTACAGTGCTTAGTCTGCAGAGCTATCCAGGCTCCTATTTAAATTCCCCACTTCTGGGGGTGGGAGTGGGGGCACTGGAGGAGGTGTGCTATGAGGCCTACTATTTATTTAATGTGGTTGTAGACCACTCCCATTGATACAAATACAAAAAGGGGAGTCAGGGTGGGAACTTCCACTACACCCACCCATCACAGGGAAAATAGTGCCCAAGAGCCACAATCCATTTCTAGGATTTGTTGCCATAAACAGCTTTGAAATGTCTTGGCATAGAGAACGGTATACAAATACCAGGAATAAATAAACATATTGTCCTTTCAATAAGAGCAGCCAGTGAATTCAGGGTAAAATCACAATTTAGAGGGGCCAGGGACATTCCCAAATAACTCTGCCCCTAATCAAAAGAGTGCAGAGAAGAGCAACAAAGATGATTAGTCATGATAGCAGTGTTCCAATATCTCAGGGGCTGCCACAAAGAAGAGGGAGTCAAGCTATTCTCCAAAGCACCTGAGGGCAGGACAAGAAGCAATGGATGGAAACTAATCCAGGAGAGAAGCAACTTAGAACTAAGGAGAAATTTCCTGACAGTTAGAACAATTCATCGGTGGAACAACTTGTCTCCAGAAGTTGCGAATGCTCCAACACTGGAAGTTTTTAAGAAGATGTTGGATAACCATTTGCCTGAAGCGGTGTAGGGTTTCCTGCCTAAGCAGGGGGTTGGACTAGAAGACCTCCAAGGTCCCTTCCAACTCGTTTATTCTATAGTCTAATATTCTTATATACAGTAATCCAATGGAGTATGGGTACATTCATAAGATGCTGCTGAACTTACTCTCCAGATTATCCAGCAGCAAATTGAGGAGAGTCAGGAACCCCCCAACCTGCACAGATGAAAATTCTAATCCTTTGGCCCACCAGAATCCAGAGACATAATAATCCAGTAATGCAGCTTCTTTCAAAGATGTCAGTCGATGCGTGAGATTCAGAAACTCTTCCAAACTCCTGTAGTTGAAAAATATCGGAATATCAGAACACAAAAACACACCTGTCTGTGAAATTGTGCCAATTTACTTCGCAAACCCAGGAATGAGCGGAAATCGGTCTCCAAACTTTGGACCAAAACCAGTGCCAGAAACTGAACCATTTAAGTTTAAGCTGCTTCTGGAGCAGGAGTCTCCAACCATGGCAACTTTAAGACTTGTGGATTTCAACTCCCAGAGTTCCTCAGCCAGCAAAGGTGGCTGAGGAACTCTGAAAGTTGAAGTCCACAAGTCTTAAAGTTGCCATGGTTGGAGACCCCTGTTCTGGAGGACAGATTTCTCCACATGGATTTTCGTACAAACAAAAACCTGAAATTTTGAAAATATTTTAATACCACAGCTAGGCACAGTCAATGTCTACAACTGCATGGGGAGGGCCACAGTCGGTGGCATGTTGAGGAATGTGACTTTGTCCCTGAACCAGGAGTGAAGAATGACACCGCAACCACCCACAGAAACTCCGTCTCTCTTTAAAAGGGAAGAAGATACACATCACAGGAGCCCAGGCCACGGGGTTCCCCTCACACACAGATACACTCCATCCGCAAACCAATTGGCTGCTGCCTCGACAGATGATGGCAAGGGCAAGATCTGTCGATGTCCCATCGAACTTACTTCTCAACTCCTGCAACATCTTGTTCCAACATAATGCTAACCTCAGCAAACGATAGAAATCTCCAAGCCATTACTTCTTCATCTTTATTAAATTTGTCTTCATCCTACAGCAAAACAATGAATAGCATCAGTACAATAGCATCCAGTACATTCAATCTCAAGGATTTTTTTTAAAAAAATTAGTGCATAAAGAAAAACAATGGCAACTGTCAACACCAATTTAGCTGATTTACAACAGGAGCAGGAACAGACTAGATAAGAGAAGAATAATTGGCCTTCCATTTGCAAATGAATTTTTTAAAAAGACAATTCAACGCAGCAAAGCAGAAATTCTTATTTTTGCTAGGTCACCACTGGCCCTTGAGCAAATTTCAAACACACCCTGCAGGCCTCTGCCAGACCTTTGGCAACAGCTGTTGTTCCTCCTGCAATCAGCAAACGGGGATGGAAAGGGCTACGTGAGAAATTACAAAAAAGGGCTCAAATTTCAGAAAGGCAAGCGCTCTGTTATTGTAGTTTTGGCACCAGTTTTGGTAACTTTTAGGAAAATTCTATCCATTCCTCTCAACATATCAGAATCAAAAACAGGGATGTGGTTTTGCAGCAGGTATGTATGTATGTATTATAATTATTTATTATTTATGTATTATTTATGTATTATTATTTGTTATTATTTAGAATTATGATTAATTAACTAATTATTATTTATTTATTTATAAAATTATTTATTAATTATCCATCCATCCATCCTCACCCACACAAATCTGTGCACCAGCCCAATCGGCCAAGGCCCAGGGCAGCCAGAGGAAGAGCAGCTGTCCTCAAAGATGCCCCAGATACCTGAAGTGGGAGCGGGGCCTATGCCTTTCTAGGCCACAGCCACAATGCCCGCCTGGCAGGAGCCTGTGCTTGCCACACGGCCTTTCTCCGAGGCTGCTCCAGTCCAACCAGAACCGGATCCCGTGTGCAGCTGCTGCTTCTTTGCTTTCTTCTTCAGCCAGGACATTTCTTCTGCCCCCACCCCCTTCCTCCTCCTCCTCCTCCTCCTCGCCCTTCGAGAGATGTGAGGGAGAAGCGCCTCTGTCCCCCGCCAAGGTCCTGAACGGCAAGCAACCCAAACGCCACTCTGGGACCAAACGGCGACCCCGCCAGCGCCCCCCCCCCCGCACAATCCCAGCCCGGCGCTTTGGAACCGTCCCGGGCGAGGAGAGCGGCTGCCTCCAAGCGCCCTGGCCTGACCCGGAGGCTGCCCGGGAAGCGGAGCCCGTACCGGCAGCACTGATTGGCCGCTCCCCCTGGTCGCCTCCGGCGCCGCCGCTGCCCTGGTCGCCATGTCGCCGCCGCCGCTGCCGCCGCTCGGTTGCCGGGCAGCCGGGCCACGCTGCCCCCGCGGGAGAGCCGCCCTCGCGCCGCCCGCCTCGCCGCCTCCCTGCAGCCTGGACAGGCGGGCTTGGGCCAAGCGAGGGACGGGCGGAGAAGTCTCCGGGAGCGGCGCCTGAGCCGGCCTGGGATGCCCGGGCTCTCTAGTCCAGGGGTCTCCAACCTTGGCAACTTTAAGCCTGGTGGACTTCAACTCTCAGAATTCCCCGGCCAGCAAAGCTGCCAAGAGACCCCGGCTCTAGGATCCCAGGCGGAGGGAGGGAGGGCCAAAGCTGGGCCAGCTCTGCCTTCTGTCTCTCCGCCTCTCTCTTGGGCCCCCCCTCGCGTTTGTGTGCCCGGCCCTCTCTTTGGGCAAAGCCTTCCGACCTTGGGAAGCATTCAGAAGCTTCAGCTGGTGCAAAACGTGGCAGCCCACAGAGTGACGGCTGCATCCTGAGACACTCAAGTGGCCCCACTGCTCCCAGAGCTGCGTGGGATGGCAGTTGACTTCCTGGTGAGATTTGTGGCCCCCTTTAAGGCCCTGCCTGGATCCAGAGCAGGTTATCTGAAGGGCCACTTTCTCCCCAGTTCAAGCCCTGGAGGAAGAACGTCTGTACACCTGGTGGGAGTGTGATTGGCCATTTGCCATCACTGCCCAACATTCAGGGGAAACTCTTTACACAGAAGGAGGGCAGGTTGTGATGGTAGGCTTGGAATTTGGAAGACACCTGCTTTTGTGTCTTTTCTTTTTTGTACAATTTTGATACTGCATTAGGTTTGATTGACAGGTGAGTAATTCTCTATGACTTTGAGGGAGGAGACTTTTGATAGGCGATCTTGCTGATGGTTAACCATGCGGATGAGGCCTAGAAATCAAGTAAAAGAGAAATAACTAAACCAATAACAGCCTTGCTGAAAGCCTCCAGAAGAACAGACCATGTTCGGGAGCTACAGGAGGAATGCTGAGCATGTTAGAAAACTCCCCTGCAATCCCATTTAATTCTCCCCATTTTTCTTCTGTCTCGCAGCGGACTGTGTCTCTAGCTTAAAATAGCATCTTTAATTGACAATAATAGATGTCTATTTAGCAGAGGAGGAAATAACAGCCACTATGCTGCTATCCACTGTAAAGTGTTGCAGGAAATTCATACATTTGTAGACATTTGCAAGGCTTTGGCTGCACCATCCAACAATTGAGCAAAATGGTGCAACTGATTCTTCGAGGCACCAGAGGATCCCTCAGCACTCAAGCAGCAAAGTGGGGTGGGGGTGGAGTTGAAATTGGGCCTATGGAGGATCTGGCAGAGGGTCTGAGAAGCAGAGGAAAAGGAGACCCCACCCTCCAAATGTAAAAGTTGAGCTTTGGGTTTAACACTTAGAAAAGGGCTGGGATAGGAGGGCCAGAGGAAGAAGGCTGAGGAAGCTGCAACCCAGGGAAACTGATGCCTTTTCGTAGACTCTTTGGGTCTGAACAGGCCCTGCCAGAGTGGTGAATGTGGTGAAAATTAATTTTTTTGCGATTTTTTTCCAATGAGGGGTTCTAAAAATATGTGTTTTTACACCAAGAATTCAAATCTGCTCTTATTTTTGTAATTGCACAACATTTAGCTTGGTACGGTAAATCCACGTCTGATCATATACACCCCCCCCACACACAAATACTGTTAACTTTGTGGTCTCAAAATTACACCTTGTGCTACAAAAATCTGCATGATTTTCTGCATGAATCTTATCTAGCTAATCAAAAAATAATCCATGCGATCATAAACTAACATCAGAAAGCAAGTTATCTGAGTTACAAAAACATTTAAGTGAGTTTCATCAAGTCTTGTTTTGATTCGTTCTTCGACATCAGCCGCCAACTTGCTTCTTGGCCTCTGATAGGACGTTTCTCATGTGTCTACACTCTGCTTGCTGCCTCTGTGACCTCTTTCGCACATCTCTCTATTGATTGGGCATGACAGGGTCACTGTGGTACTTGCATTGGTTCATCAATGAACTTCTTTAGTTCCACTGTAGTCAGTTTGCACATCAAAGGTGGCTCTCATATACACCTTCAGACCAGTCAATCAGCTCCAGTAGAGTGAATGCTCTGGCTTGACCTCTACTCAGTGCATGGCACCACCTTCACAGCCAGTATTAACATTTGTAGAATCTCCTCCAATGGCCTTCAAGCTTTTGTCAATGTCTTTCTTCTTCCTGAAATACACCAGATTATCTGCAATCACTTGAGCAGGTTTTCCTGTTTTTGAGCTTTTCTCTGGAGGAAAATGATAAAGATATCTTCCACCCGGCTCACTGTGATCCTCCTACAAAGACTTTTAAGAGGAAAATTTAAAAATAAAAGGCAGGAATGTACCATTTGGTAGAAAACAAGCAAGGTCCCCATATCAGGGGTGGGTTCAAACCTTTATTACCGGTTTGCAACGGGGCCGCGCACATGCGCTCGCTTCACTCACACATGCATTCTTCTGCCCATGCACAGAAGCATTTTGATGATATCGGGGTTGGTGGGCAGAGCCTCCCGCCGGTTTTACTACCGGTTCTTTACCCTACACATCTTTTGAGAAAGCGAGCAGACGAGGTCTGAGTAAGTAAGGCAGCTTTGATTTGAGGTGATGTGGAGAACTCAATTTCTGTGGCTCTGCAGTTTCCCTGCAGCCAGATGTGTCCTGGGCATATTGCAGTACAACACAGAAGCCTCTTTCCAGGTTTGCAGAAGCTTTCTGGGACCCCAGCAGCTGGAGGAAGGCGGCCAAGGAATGAGACCCTGGAAGCTTCAGCTTGTTCCAAAGCTGGTGCTGTGTTTAGGAGCAGGAAACATCCTGCTTTTCAAAGCACAAAAGCTTCCAAGGCACTAAATATGGAGTTTAGAATAAATTCATCGGGAAGTTCAATTTTAGAATCAATTCTCGGTTCAAGGAATCCATAAGACTGATTGAAATAAAATAAAATAAAATAAATGAAAAGCAAGCAAACAACTGGGTTGCAAAAATGCAATTACTGGGAAAACAGCCCCATTTGCCTGATTGAAAGTGCTGTCATGCTGTTATTAAAATATCTTTTGATGGATTGTAAATGGTGCAGATAGTTCATAAAGGAGCACAACGGATTTGTCTTAAGGAAAAAAAATGGGCTTCATTTTGAAGAGGGAAGCACTCATTTTGATCGGGTGTTGATTGAAATCGCTCGCACCAAACACGCGTTCCTCGTTTTGAAACAGACACCTGTCTGGCTGGGATCTGATTTAGTGCATTCTTGCCATGAGATCCAATTCATCTCTAGGCCAAGAAGACTGGCTAATTGAAATATTCCATAGATATTTTTGAATGCATTATTTTGCTGCCAAAGAAGCTTGTATGTGACAAAAATTCTTAAAAGTTTTGTCAGGAAGGGTTGCGTGGAAAGATTTGTAAATACTGTCAGCACAAATGTTTGCACTGAAGGAATCAGATTGGAGACCCAACACACGTAGATGGATTGACCAAGTCTTGTGAATGCCAGCCACAGAAGAGACAACATCATTTTTCTTGTTGCTCATCTTCTATTAAGGCTGATGTCTGTTTCCACTGCTCACCAGTTCCATCTTTCTGGAGCTTTGTAGGGTCCCATTCGCAGGAATTTTCTTGAAATGAAGATAAAATTGGCTGACATTAAGCTCTTTCTTCAAAAACAGTTCTTAATCATATGCCTGACCTGGCTCCAAAACTGGTAAAGATAAAGGTTCCCCTCGCACATATGTGCTAGTCGTTTCTGACTCTAGGAGGTGGTGCTCATCTCCATTTCAAAGCCGAAGAGCCAGTGCTGTCCGAAGACATCTCCGTGGTCATGTGGCTGGCATGACTAAACACCAAAGGTGCATGGAACGCTGTTACCTTCCCACCAAAGGTGGTGCCTATTTTTCTACTTGCATTTGTTACTTTCAAACTGCTAGGTTGGCAGAAGCTGGGATAAGTAACGGGAGCTCACCCCATTATGCGGCACCAGGGATTCAAACTGCCGAACTGCCGACCTTTTGATCAACAAGCTCAGTGTCTTAGCCACTGAGCCACCATTTCCAAAACTGGAGATCACACTAAGAAAGAGGTTTTCCATTGCCATCTCTGCCTGCCATTGTAGGACCCAGCCGTTTTTTTCAATTCAGACCCCCAAATGCATCCTTTCCTGTTTTTAAGGGAGCTCTTTGAAGCCAAGAAGAGAGAAACCCGTAGCTGAAACTGATGCTGAGCTGACTGATCGGATGGGATTCTAGCAAAGCTAATACCGCAGCAACAGTAACACAACTGGACTCATCTAGAGGAAAATATCTCTGCTATTGTAATCTTTCCAGGCCATTAGGCAGCATAATGCAAACCTACCCATTTCTTGAGAGTGTTAGTCATTTTAAAAAAGGTTCTTCTGCCATCTCGGCTGAGAAATGAGAAATTCCTTGGTTTTCCCATGCAGCCTTCTACATCAGACCCGGGTGAAATGATTGATCTAAAATATAAACAGGAAACTGCTCAGTCATGACGAGTTATTTCCTAGAGGGATATTTTTCTAGCTCATTTTCTATTTTGTGAGTGTAATTCAATAGCAGCATTTTGTAGCCTATCTCCTATAATGGAATATATCATTAGTTTTACAGCTAGATGTGTTGATTCTCACTAGATCTATGTGGCATCATCCTAATGGGTTTTTAATAGCAACCATGAAAAAGAGGCGACTTTCTCAGATCAATAATATGATTCGAGCGCCACACTGTAAATGATTAAAATATTAGCAGGAGCTTCTTGCTTAGCAGGTTAAGTTTCCCTTCCTGCTCTGCCTTCGCCTTGCAGATCCATCTTGGCCTTTGGCATTTTAGCCAGGGAATTGGGTGATGTGGATTCACCAGTTTTCTCTTATTCTACCAAGCAAGCCCACGGTAGATATTTATGTACCTCTTTGGGGAGGAGGGCTGAATTGCAGACACAGAGCCTGGGAAGGTTTTTGTTTTTCTGTCAGATTCTCAGAGAGCTTGAGAACTTGGCATTTTGGCATTTTGTGCAGGCCGCCATTGCTACAGTGACCGTCTCTTGCTGGTCCTCCTTCTCCCCCTTTGCAGTTGCGAAAGACCCCAATGGAAGCATCCCCTAAGCCAAGTGAACCACTTGAGAGAGGAGGGTAGAGGGAGAAGGGGGATGTCCTCAGGTCTCACTTCCTGCCACTCAGGGTAATTTCATGGAAACT